GGTTTAACCTCTCTTTTTCCCAAGAGGTGATGGTGGTTAGCATAATCAGTAATGCATAACCCTGAGCGTGCCACACTGGTTAGATATCATGTTACATTATCTCAGTTCTACAATTATTAATTTTCTGTCAGGCAAATTTTCTGTTCATTATTTTATGGCAAGTGAAATTAAAATGGCTAATAATTTAATAATAAAAGCGAAGAATTTATTTGTGTAAATGCTAATAGGCAAAAATAATTGTTTTCCAAATAAATGAGATAGAGCTAGCAAGATAAAATTAGTCGTTGTTGAAATTACTTGCTAGAATTCAGTGCCAAGTCGTGTTAATGTCTGTTTATTTGATTTTACTTAAAACACTTTAGAACAATACCAGGCATGAATTTTACTTTTTATAGTAACAGTTTACTCTATTAATCATTAGTCGACAGTTAAAGAGAAGCTGGAACTTTACATAATAAAGGTAAAAATAATTTTGTTTACTCTTAGAAGAGTTTTAAATGAGAATTAGTACATGGAGCATCAATAAAACTTATAAAATTACTCAGCTCTTACGCGTTTCTTAATACAACAGTTGATAATGACCATGTATATAAAATATTTTAAGAGCTGCTTGCTATTTTATGATACAAATATTCAAATTATTTAACCATAATTGTTCAAAATAATTGTTCAAAAAATGTAATAAATAAAATCTTTTTAGTTGAAGTATTTTAGTTGATAAAATATCTTATTATTTTGTGGTGCTATACGTTATTACGTTATTTTATTAATTTTTTTTAAAAATCTTCGCTTCCAACAAGGCTGCAAGCAACCACTTATTAGTGTTGGAAGTTACTGGAAGAGAAAAGATGAAGATTGTAGAGCAAGAAAACGATTGACAGACCACTTAAAAGATTGCAAATTATATGAATCAGGAAAGCAAGATGAAAGAAGCGAATTCCAAAGAACTGATGTTCAAGGAAAAAAACTAGATGAGTAAGAGTTTTTGGAGCACTTAGGAACAGTAACAGAAAAAGGATGAGACTTAATTAAATGACGAGTAACACGAGAATGAATTTTAGTAGATGACACAAGAGACGGTATCTCTTTAGAGCAGTGTCCATTATAGTATTTGTAGAAAAGAGAAAGAGAAGCAACATTACGATGATGTGACAGAGGTTGAAGGTTGGCTGCAAGAGCAGGTCCAACTATGTTTACAATGCGTTTTTGCACCTTGTCTAAAAGAAAAAAGGCATCATTAGAAGATCCGCCCCAGATATGGCAACAGTTTTCTATACAAGGCCGGATTTGAGATTTGTAGAGATAGAGAATAGAATCCAGAGTAAGAAAGTGTTAAGCTCGATAAAGAGAAGCAACTTTAGCAGATGCTAATTTTGCAACGGATTTGATATAAGGTTTCCAAGAAAGATCAGAAGAGTTAATCCTAGAAGATGAAGGGTAGGAGACTCATCGAGTACATTACCGTTCATAAATATCTAAAATACCGTTAATAAATATAAAGGTCTAAGTTATTGCGATAACGATTGGCTGAAAAAAATTGATTTTTATCTTCTTATCGAGACAAGAATAAATGGTAGTATCATCAGCAAACAATGCCACCTTAGATGTGAGAATATCTGGAAGATCGTTAATGTAAATTAAAAAAGAGTATAAGGCCAAGGATTGAACCTTGAGGAACCCCTGAGGTTACAGAATAAGAAGAAGAGTGCTATCCATCGAGGACAACTTTTATACTACAATTGGAAAGGAACGATTCAATAATCTTAAAGGTGTTTCCAGATACACCATAAGAAGAAAGCTTATGGAGAAGACCAGCATGCCAAACTTTATCAAACGCTTTAGAAATGTCAAGAGCGATGGCCTTAACCTCTCCACCTTTATCTAATGTGCGATAAAACCTATCGGTTATTACTGATAGATAATCAGCTGTAGAACGAAAGGATCGAAATCCATATCGATGATCAGAAAGTAGGTTATGAGATTCGAGATTAAGTGTTTGTTAATTAAAGATTCAAAAACTTTGCTTATGATAGGAAGAAGACTAATGGGAAGGTAGTTAGATGAATCGGATCGCTCTCCAGAATTTTTAAAAATAGTGATAACAGATGCTTCTTTCCAGCAGGCTGGAAAACAAGACTCTGACAAGCACTTGTTAAATAGTTTTGAAAGGATAGACGACATCTCATTTATTACGCTAAGTTGTCTAGCCTTTTTATTATTATTATTTTTTTTTATTATTTTGGAGAGACAGTAATTTGTGCTTAAAAATATTTTATGCTATGCGCTATTGTCACTGTGTTTTGAGTTGATAGAACTGGGCTGTGTTATGGTCGATAAAGAGCTTTTTCACTATTTAGACATTGCACAAGACCAGCCTTCATCTTTTTGTTCTCTAGTAATTTAGCAATCTTGGCTTATCTTTGATAAGATTGGAAATGGAAAGGGTGATTTGCAGTGGCTTAAGTTACCTTCCCAGTTCTGGAAGTTCAACAATTTTGAGTTTGAATCTACTATTAAATAAAATCTTGAGTTTGAATCTACTAATAAATAAAATCATATGATGTGGTTAATGACTTGTCCGAGAGGGCCATTAAAATAGTTAAAGAACTGATAGGAAAATCAAACAATGTGGCAGCTTTTTTTATTGATTAAGATAGCTAACTTTCAGACAGAACATTCGTTAATTTTGGGTCTGTTTCATATATTTAATTAGATTTTTTTGTAAAAAATTTGAGTGATTGGAGCCTTGGGACTACAAAAACCCCAAAACTAGTGGCACCAGCCCTAAATGGACAATAAGTTACCCAGTTAAATTTATATTCATTAACAGATTTCGAATTTTATCTAGTAATATTTGAGCGTTCTTTTAGTTAAGTTATAACAATGTATAGTTTGATCCCCTTATTTTGGAGGCGGTAAAAACTTTAAATAGTCATAATTTTCGAATACTTAAGTATTATTAGATGAAATTTGAAATCTGTTGATGAATATAAAGTTAGTTTAGAATAGCAATAGTATAAATTTTGGTAACTAATTGCCCTCATATTTGGCGCTGGGGGGCACAAGTTTTAGGATTTTTATAGTTCCAAGGCTCCAATCACTCCAACTTTATTCGAAGCATCTTAATTTGATTCAAGTATAAACATACCCAAGTTTGAAGTTTGCTCCATGTCTGCAAGTTATCTATCTCAATCACAAAAAAAAGTTGCTGTAATCCATGAAATAAGGAAAATCATTCTTTTGTCTGCTTATTGACTTTTATATAAGTTTTCCAGTGTTGAGAAAAAAAAAATACAGTTAGAGTGCTTAATTTTATTTTTATATTATTTATTGTGAGATTTTATATAGAAAAAAAAAATTAAACTCAATATTGTTTAAGGGTGGCACATGTGGGATAAAAAAATGTCAAAAAAGGGTAAAAAAAAAGTACTTGGGGCCGTGTGCAACCCTTAAACTTTTTTTTAAAGTAAAAAAAAAAAATTAAAAAAAAAAATTCATATATAAAACAAGGGTTTGCGCACTTATAAGCTTCCACTATAGTCCAAAAAAAAAATTGTCCTAAATCTGAACCACCCTAATATATATATATATATATATATATATATATATATATATATATATATATATATATATATATATATATATATATATATATATATATATATATATATATATATATATATATATATATACATATATATATATATATATATATACATATATATATATATATACATATATATATATATATATATATATATATATATATATATATATATATATATATATATATATATATATATATATATATATATATATATATATATATGTATATATACCACCACGAACCTTGATTACACACTGGCTTCGATATATCAGTAAATTTTTTTTTTAAAAGTATATCAACTTGAGTCTCAAAAGAACCAGAATTTTATAGTGATTTCATTTTATAGTTTTTGAAATGTTCTCAGAACAACTTAAAAATCTGGCCGGTTTTTCGCAACTAAATATTATTAACATGGTCAAATATCAAGTGCGATCGCACCTGCTTTCCGACCAATCCTGACATATGTGAATATATATATATATATATATATATATATATATATATATATATATATATATATATATATATATATATATATATATATATATATATATATATATATATATATATATGTATATATTAACATACACACAAATAGTGTTGCGCACTTGGCTAAGTAATCATCAAATACCATACCAAAGTAGGGAGCTGTGAGGTGTAAAAAAAATTTTGTAATATCTTAATAATTATAATTATGATCAACCTTAATTATATTATACTATAATAAATAATCATTAAGTAGCCTAATCAATATAGTCATATTAATTGTGAAAAATATAACTATAATAATCACAAAGGATTAATCAATAAGCAAGTCACAAAATAACTAAAACAATATCAAAGCAAGGTTATGCCTGCTCTAACAGTAACATGTAATCAAGTTTTATCTGACACATCTAACAACACATCCTGATCTTACTAAGAATAGCTTTTTTTTGCTGATGGTCTATAAATTCCAATTATGAAAATGTACACTTTTAATAAACCATCATTTTTCTGATAGCAGGTAGTTAAGTTTAAATCTCTCCTGTTGTTGACTGGGGCTTGCGTCAGCTGGTGAATTTGAATCAATTAAAACTCAGTTCTGTCTGATACTGACTCTATTTCCTACTTTACATCTTCATAAATTTACATCTTCTGACTTTATTTCCTACATCTTTTTAAAACACCTTTTACTATTAATATTTCGTAAGGTCAGTTTTGGGGAAAAAAAATCATAACTCAGTTAATTATTAAGGAAATATTGCAAAACCTTGGCTTTAATACTTTTGGACCAAGAAATCTGAGTCTAAAGTCAAATTTAACATTTATGGACTATACATATTGCAAATAATATGTCCGAAAATATATAAATATTTAACGTCATCACTCACAAAAAAATATATTATGATACCTGTAAGCTCGACCACACATTCCATAATTTCCAGCTCCATAACTACCCCCAATAATAACAGTAAACTTTGGAACATTTGCACAAGCCACAGCAGTTACCATCTTAGCCCCATTTTTGGCAATACCTCCAGCTTCTGCTTCTCTACCAACCATAAAACCTAAAGCAATAATTATAAATTAGTTAAAAAAAATAATGAAGACTTAAAATCAAATTAAACTTTTTAAAAATCTGTTAAACTTGATCACACCCTGTGAACTACACAATTAATCTTTTATGAAAGCATTATATAAAGCTAATAAGTACATTTAAAGATGTTTTTAAAACCCTTTTACTTTTTCTAAACCAAATTTTTCATATTTAAAAATCATCCCTAATTGGGGAGGTTGTATATTTTACATGGTCATTACTTCAAAATATTAAAACAATTATGATAAAATACTATTATTTTACTTTTATAATAGAGTTTTTATCATAAAGTTTTTTTTTATAATAGAGTTTTTATCATAATTGTATTTTATCATAAAATACAATTATTTTTTATCATAATTGTATTTTATGATAAAATACAATTATGATAAAAACTCTATTATTTTTTTTATTTGTATTTGTTAATTTTGATTTAATTTAGGAACATGCAAAAGAAAAAAATTTTGAACAAATATATCTGAAAAAACCTGTAACGAGTATATATAATGAATTTAAGTTGAAATTATTATTTGTTGCTTATTTTTATATAGATTGTTCAATATGATTCATAGTTTTTTTTCAATATGAATACTGGTTTTTGTTTTGACAATACAACAATAACTATACTTTCAAATAAAACTTACATTCAAATGAATATTTCTCAATAATATAATCAATTTTAAAAATTTTTCAATTAAATATTAATTATCAAATAATAAAAATTTTTAATTAGTTTTATAAAACAAGCGGTCAAATGGTGCAGTCAATAAACTACATGGGTGTCATTGAGTCTAAATTGTAAAAAATGAGTCATTCTAAAAAAGAACATATACCATAAAATACAAAAAATTGGTAGAGTAAAACCATATTACCTATGATTGTTGCTTACTTTTTGATCTCTTGTCAATAAAATAGAGTCTCGCTTGCTTATCTTGCATTGGGGCCAGTGGCAAATTAAAACTTTTGGGGCCCTGGGCTATTTTAGGGGGGGAGGCCTCCTTCCATGTAATTAATCAAAGATTTAATTCTTAGAATTTCTAAATTTTTTAAAGAACCCTTATTCAAAATAAAAATCTTTTATTTTAAATCGGGGCCCTTAAAACTGCAGGACCTATAAAAAATGCTCAAAGCAAACAACCCTTGTTAATTAGGTTGAAGTTGTGGAAATAACTTAATAAGTGCAAATATCCCAAACATTTTTTTGAAAAAATTTACCTTTTCAGATTCTAAATTTATCTGTAAATTTCCCAGAAAATGTATGGGGAAGTTTAAATCAAAATTTACCTATAAATTTACATCACTACACTGAAATATGAAAAAATAAGATTTTAACATTTAAGCTTAAATATGAAATATAACTACCTCATTTAGTAAATATTTTAAAAAAGGTGTTTTAATATTTTTAAAAAGAAACAACCTGCTCTTGAGGTGTTTATAATGTTTTCATAAAAGAACTTTTTGGGTCCCTTTTTATGAGGTTGATTGTGAACTTGTTATATCTAAACTTGATTTATATACTTTTACTTTGATTTTCAAATAAAAAATTTTTTACTTGATACTGAAACTTGTATTAAAAAAAACCCGTGAATCAACAATAAAAAATTAAAACCTGTAATATTCTGTAGAAATACAAGTGGTATGTTCCTTTGGCAGCACAATTCTATAAAGTGTGTGGCTTTTAATGCTGACTCACTATATAAAACACCATTATTACCAATAACTCCAACAGGATAGCCATGAATGTGAGCAAATCCTACATTTTGATTCAAAATATAAACTTATATATAAATTTTTTGTATACTTAAAAAAGTAATGATTTTCTAAAATTAAAATCAACAATTAATTATTAAAGAATTATTGAAAAATAACAATTAAATAACTGATTGTACAAATGGATCAAACTTACAAAGGAAAAAGGGAGATAATAAAGCAAAAGAAAATATTTAAAAAAATTATTAAATAAATAAAATTGCAAAAGAACTCTCACATTTAAAATTTATTTACTGACGTATTTCAAATAACTTGTTCCTCACTTGCTTAGAGTTTTTATTATTAATTAAGGTGCAATACCATGTCCCACCATCTAATTGTGGAGCTGGATAAAAGAAGATACTCCACAGTGTATAGATACTATACAGTAGATACTATACAGTAGATACTATACAGTAGATACTATACAGTAAATTAAATAAATTTTTTACTTTTCTTTTTTTTTTTTTTTCAAATTTTTTTTGCATATATTTGAACATATATAAAATTTTGAAATAATTTCAACATACTTAAATTTATTAATAACTAATCTTTTTTGCCATTTTTTCTAAAACCTCTTCATATTAATGGGGATAAAGAAGAACTAATACTTTTTTATAATGGCCACATCAACATTTGTCATTTACTGGTCTCTCTTTTTTTTTTTGGAAGCAGAAATAACATTTATATCCTAGTTTAAAGCTTGTTATAATGTAAAAACAGATGCAAAAACAATAAAATAACAATGAAAGTAACAAAAAAATGAACTTTTTAGAAGAACTTTTTCAGAAGATCATTTTAATAAAAATTATTGTAATAAACAGAGAGACCTATTGGCAGAGCTAACCATGCAAAATTAAACACCTACACGACAGCAAAAATTATTTGGTACCCACATAAAACTTATCATATCTTGTGATGTATGCTGAGGTACGTGTATTATACAAATGTGTGAAAATGTGTGACAAATTAAAATAAACTTGAAAAAAAAAATTTTTAATAATAAATAATTTGTTAAATCAAAAACCTGTGACTATGGTGCTTCCATACATGGCCTTGAACTCATCAAATTTGCTTCCATCAACAATTCGAGCAATTACTTCACGAACATCATATGTTTTTTTTAGATTTGCACCAACTATACCATACAACTCCTCAGCAGGATAAATTGGTTCTTCTATTTCTCTGGTTGATATCTATAATTATACTTTAATTAACATTAAACACATAATGACATCTTTATAACAATTTTTATAAAAATTTAATAAGAATCAATGCAATTTTAATATAAACAGACTGAATAATTTTATGTGCAATTAACCAATTTAAAGGGATCCCTAAGTGCTCCTAACATATGATCTCATATGAAAGAGCATAAAAAAAAAAATATGTGAGTTTTTTTTCTTTTTCACTAAATTGTAATAATAAGTGCATAACAACAAAAAGCAATCGCCAAAATCACTGAAAAACAACTCCATTTTGATTTTATTTTTTTAGCACTGAAACTTGATTATTAGTCGTTAAAAATCACGTTTGTACGTCACAACAACTTTAGAATATCTACTTCGATTTTCAAGTGATTAATAAGTCAAGTTTTAATCATTAGTTTTGCAAAAATAGTAGAATAGAATTAGGTTGAAAGACGTCATTAAAAAAAAGTCATTAAGTAATAGTGATTTAAATAGTTTAGAACTTATATAAAAGTTTTAGTTTAATTTCTAATAAAATGTCTATTCAACCTTATCAATTTGAACCAAAAAAAAAAAAAGCAAAATTAAGATAAATATTAATTTAACTAAAACTAACTCCAATTGTAATAATTTGCTTCAAATTGAGCGTGATACTCAAGAGACAAAAATTAATCGCCTCTATACTGGCATTAAAAACTGGTGTAAATGCGGAAAATGTGTAACAATGCCTAACCAAAAAGAGTGTCTGTGTTGCACTGAAGTTAAAGAAATAATGATCGGAACAGGTTTTTTTATACTTTATACTATTATTTTATTTCGTGCCAACTGTGTATAAAAAATATACTTAAATTTATAAATTATAACCATTCTTTTACTATCAATAAAACATTTATTGTAAAAATAATTATGTTTTCAGATCAGAAGTGTATAACGGAACATGAAGGATTCCTAACTGGATGCATTCTTCCGTATCCACTATAAATAGCGATGTCAAGTTTGAAAGATAGAGAAGGATCGTGGATGCTATCAACATTTGAAGAAACGCCCAATAGGTACTTGAAAAGAATTAGGAAAAATAATTTTTTTAACAGAATAAAATTATTATATTTTGAAGTTGGTATAGTCTAGCGAAAAATAAAATATTTCATTAATTTAGACATTTTGTAGATAGTTAATAGATAATTTTTCCGTTGTTTATAAAGTATTATTATTATTTAGTTATTATAAATACTCTGTATATTATTAATATACACGATGAATTGTTTTATACCCTTTTTTATATTTTAAAAAATTATTTACTGCATTTTGTCAAAAAATATAATATCTTAAAATTTGTTTAGAAGTTTATAAGAAATCTTACTCTTTCTTTCTAGATCTTTTAGATATTCCGCTTACTGACAGTTTACTTGGTGGACCTATAGCAAACTTGGGAAATATAATAGGAAAATCATCCCGGCATGTGTTGTTTGTGCAATACGACAACGCTTTCCTGAAGAAAATGGTGTTTACACAAATTTCAATGATGAAGAAGAAAAATCTGAAATTGTGGAAGCTTGGGAGTATATTGGAGGGTTTCAACTCAATGAATAATTTAACACATAAAACGGCTATTTTTATAGCCATGTATTAAAATCAATTACGGCACACAGTTAGAGTAGCCGATTTGTTTTATTTATCTGCTTACCGAATACGTCTTCCGATTAACAATTCGAGGAAGTTTTTTTTAAGGTCCCCCCCCCCCTCCTTCCTCAAAAAATAAAAAAAAAAACTTTATTCAAACAAATTCTTTTTTCCCTGAATTACTTTTCAGCTTTAGTTTAGAAGCGGTATTAAAATGTTTTTCAACTAATCCAAATCTGGCCATTTAGATCAAGAATAAATAAAAACATTTTGATAGCATCTTTGACTTGGATTTCTAAAAAAAGTGCAAAAATCTGAAAGTCAGATAGTTAAAAAATTTTATTTAATTCCTACTCTAAAATAATTTATTTTTATTATAACACTATTTTGAAAACTTAATTTTAAACTAAATTTAGATTTTTAGGAACAGCTAACAAATCAATGAAAACTACAAATAATTAATACGTAGGTAAAATGTAAAAGTTAATGTAAAACGTAGGTTATTTCTTTTGTTTATCATGTTGATTAAGTGGCACAAGAAAAAAATTAACGTAAAGAATAAATGAATTGTAATGAATGAAATATTCGATCGAAGGAATTTTTATAAATGAATGTATAATAAATTGTAAACAAAGTATACATTCAACTTTTTCAATCGAATATTTCATTAAAGGGATCCCTAAGTGCTCCTAACATATGATCACATATGAAAGAGCATAAAAAAAAAATATGTAAGTTTTTTTTCTTTTTCACTAAACTGTAATAATAAATACATGCTAACAAAAAGCAATTGCCGAAATCACTAAAAAACAACTCCATTTTGATTTTATTTTTTCACCATTGAAACTCGATTGTTAGTCGTTAAAAATCACGTTAGTACGTCACAACAACTTTAGAATATCTACTTCGATTTTCAAGTAAAAAAAGTCATGATTAAATAGTTAAGTTTTGATCAAGTTTTTTAAAATAGTTTTGCAAAAACAGTATAATAGCATTTGGTTGAAAGACGTCGTTAAAAAAAAGTTATTAAGTAATAGGTTTAAATAGTTTAGAACTTATAAAAAAGTCTTACAGGGCTCGTATTAAGCATATCGCGATCGCGATTGCAACACACACTTTTGTGATTAGTTTTCTCTTTAAAAAAATCTTTTCGCAACTCGTTTTTTTTTTGGTTGATTAATTACTTTTTTTCTAGCTTAGCATTTTTTTTAGCAATTCTTAAAAGTAATGTTTTTATCTTAAAGAACGTCACACAAAATTTATTATTCTGTATAGATAGATGAATAGATAATTTGCTCTTTCGTGCGGAGATTTTCTTTTAACGTAAAACATTTTTGAATTTAAATTACTTTAAATCTCTGCGTGGAAAATTGTTACAAGGTCGTTAAAGCGAAAAGTTGAAAAGTTGGTTTTTATCTTTGTTTATCAAAACTTCATGTTTAAAATAAGGCTTAAAAACATTAGAGCAAAAAAATTACTGACTTTTATTTGCATTTTTATACTGTTTAAAAAAAAAAACTAATAAAAAAGAAATAATATATAATTATTTATTAATATATTATTAGTTAATTCTTTTTTTATTAGTTTTTTTTTTTTCAAACATAAAAATGCTAATAAAAACCAGCATTTTTTTTACTTTAACGTTTTTAAGCCTTATTTTAAACATGAAGTATAACTCTATTTATTAAACTAAATTTTTTTGTTTTATCTTTTATTGGAAAACTTGAAATAGAAAAATTGAATAAAAACATCAACCATTTAAATGAAAAACTTAATTATATTTAAACTTTTATTAGTCCTTTATTCAAGAAACAATAAATTATAAAAAACGTGGTATCTAATTTTTTATTAAGTTTTTGACCATGTTTTTATGATTTATTGACGATAATTTTTTCCCCCCATTACCGCACATCGGCGCGAGCTATAAGAGGGAGAGGGAGGGGGGGTTAAAACTACTGAAATAAATTTATTTTTTTACTAAGGCAATATTTTAAATAAACTTTCATATGTCTAAGTCAATATTCATTTGTTTTTAACTGACTAAAAGAGTTTAAAATTTGACTTCTATTCATTTTAAGCCGTGGAATTGCCCTTATAACACAAATATATAAATTAATATTATAAAAGAAATTTTAATATACAAATATATTTTCACAAAATGCTACAAAACTTATTCTTGTAAGTAATTATGTGTTAGTTGAAAAAAAACAACTTTACTTTTAAATTTAATTACCAACTAATAAGTTTCCAATAATGACATTTTGTCTACTTTGTTTAATTTGACGTACTAACGTTAGTTTTTTGAGGCAGTAGAGTCAATAAACTTTGGACAAGACGCATTCTTTTTAATCGAAGAAAAGTGTTTATTTGAAAATTAAATTTGTTAGTGTGTGTTCATTATTACGTTTTAGAAAAAATAATATACATCAAACATTTTTTTTTAATGCTCTTTCATGAGATCATATCTTTATAGCACTTAGGGATCCCTTTAACTAACTTTATTTAACATTTATTATTTATGTTCATTCGTTCTCATCTGATATTGTTGTTGGACTGTTCCTAAACCATGTCACGCAAAGTTAAACGATAATTTAAAGAACTAAAAATAATCAATGAAAAATCATTGCGCGAAGGAGACAATTTTCTTCTTTGTCTACTTAAAGGTTTAATTTTAGCGTGACATAATTTAAGAACAGTCAATTTATGTAATTTTAATTCGAAATGATCAAGTTACTTTTCAAGGTAGTTAAATTATTAACTGCAAAAACGTATTCCTTAAATTTTAGACTGCTAGACCTCATCTTTTGATGTTTTATTTTAACATCCACATTTTATAGTATAAATAAAACCCAGTTCAAACCCAAGGCACACACAAATAGGAAAGAATAAACACAAAATAGTAAATATTTAGAGGTATGAATAAATGTTAATTTTTAATGGACAGACTTTGTCTGATCATTAAAAAAACAAATCGTGCCAAATTCCAATATAAACTATTTCACACGCAAAAAAAACTGTTTATTTTAGAATATTTTTATACTTTACTATCTTGCAAATGCAATAAAGGCAATCAAATATTCTTATTTCCATTACGCTTTGAGCATATTCACATCAAAAATAAAAAAATTAGATATCAATATTGCTGCTGTTCTGTATTTTCTTGATTTACATTTTTCTTGCAAAAAGATAGTTGTTTCTTCGACAACAATGTCGCGTTTCTGCAGTGCTGCAGGTTGCTCAAGCGAGTATCATAACAAGTTACCTAACATTTCATTTCATACAGTACCAAAAAATCCTGATATTGCAGCAGCGTGGAGAAAAGCGGTTGGTAAAGAGAAAAGTGTTAAGCGACTTGAACTTTGCTCTTTGCATTTTGACGAATCATGTTTTGACAAATCTCACGAAATGATGCAACTTCTTATACATAACAAAATCAAAAGAATGAACAAAAAACTCCTTCCTAATTCTGTTCCAACAATATTTCCATGTCAATATAATCAGGTAAAATTATTAATAATTTTTTTGCCTTGATGACTTTGTTTTTATATCAAATTTGTGTATATTAATCTAAAACTTAAAAAAAAACAGCATTAAAAGTTCTCAAACTTTTACAGCTTTAATCGGATTTAGTGCAGCAAAGCTCGTGCATTGAATCGGATTATGTTATTTTGGAAAGAGAAGAAATATTACAAGATGAACCAAATTTAATAGCTGAGGAGAATTTGCTTAATTGCAATGTTGCAACACAAACACAGCAACCGCAAAATCTTTGGAAAAAAGACGCAAGCACCATCACAACCACGCAAAAAAGTTATCGACATTTTGGTTGTCAAGTAAATATAATTTCACCTAAAATTAAAAAAATTAATAAAAGTTGTCAATTCCCTATAATTAAAGATCAAAAATCCCAAGAATTATTATTTTGTGAGAATTTTGGTGCAGCTGACGGAGATACATTAAACAATTGCAATGAAGTTAATGTTTCAGTAAATTTTAATCACAATTCATATATCAATATATCTAATGAAAGTGATGAAACAGCTGGCAATAATGATTTACTTAAGAATGATTATGATGACGATGATGAGAAACATTGTAATGATCCCGAAGATATTGAATACATTGATGACTATGATTCAGAATACACCCCTACTTCATCAGATGAAATGGATACCGATAACAAATTAAACACTACAGATTCAAAAATAAAAAGAGAGTGTAACGATCGATCCCTATTTGTTTACGAAAAAAATTTATACGAGCTATTAGCACATTGTCCAAAGTGCGGCGCTTTCGTTGATCGATCTATGATAAAAGAAGTTAAAAATAACGGCTCTAATAAAAAAAGAAACTGGTTGCACGCCAGCTCCGATTCTTTTAAATATTTAGTTAAGATTGTTAAAAATAAATCTCTAAAAAAAACGATGAAACACTTAACTGAAGCAGTTCACACATGTGCTGTCGAAGTTTTTAACAATTTCTTATTAAAATATATTCCAAAACAATATCATTTCGAGTATGAGCACATGGAGATGGGAGGACTTCTAGCAGCCCTTGATCATAACATTAATGCTGGGCGTTTTTTTGCGTTAGATTGCAATGGCGATGTAAAATATCGTGTTGCAAGGAGAAAAGCAAGCAAAAATTTTATTGCTCGAAAAGTTAAAAAACATAAACGTTATGACTACCTTCTAATAATGAAAAAAAGTGTTTTTAAAAGAGCGGAAATTGGAGCGCAACGTACCAGTAAAAAACGTGTAATGGCGCCTACACCTATAGAAACAAAAGATAACTTAATAGCAAGAAGCAAAAAAGTGGCCAGATTTAGTTATTGAATAATTTAAGCAGAGGTGAAAATAACTTATTACTTGTTCGCGTTACTTGCGTTATTTGCATTGTAGTTAAGATTTTTTTTTTTGGGTATTACTGCCTTTTAAGTACTTTTATTAATTTGCAGTTTTAATTTTACTTGAATTTTTTTAAAAAGTATATTTCTCAACATTTTAAATCTTATACGATACAGAGTTAAAAAAAATATTGCGTATTACAGTTCACAAAACGTATGATTTAATTTTATTAGTTGATGAAAAATGGCAGGCGTTTTATAACTTGATTTCCTTATAGTTTCATGTTTTAAATAAAGTTACAAAAAAATTAAACGTGCGCATTCCTTAAAAAAAAAATGTCAAAGGTGAATCTAGATGAATGCATAAACAAAAACTACATTTAAATTTTGTTTGGATAATTATGAAATATTTAAAACGCTCTTTTTCCAAGGCCTAATAACTTGCAAGCACTTATGCAGAGCCGGATTAGCCATTTCGTAGGCCTGGGGCAAAACATAACATATTTGTGTTAAATAAATATAAATTTTTTTAAAAATTAAAGCCACAAACAGTGGCTTTAATTTTTAAAAAACAGGAGAAAAAATAACTCGCGTGAGTGACTTATTTTTGAAAAAAGAGGTGCGCTGAACGACAAAGTTTAATAGGGTGAAAGATTTAATAGGGTTTACACTCCAAAGCTGGAAAATAAAAAGATGCGGAAGATGGACTAAAATCTATATCATTAATACTGCCAAAAAGAATTTTGTCACGCTGTCTCATTTTTGTCTAATGACAAGTTTTAAAGTTATTCTGACCCTGCTGTTTTCTTTTAAAAGAAAAGTTTTTCTTCCATCAAAATGTTTAACCGCTTTCATGTTTTTTTAACTTACGTTACATGAAAATTGAAAAAGTTCCTTAATTATTTTCTGGACATATATATATATATATATATATATATATATATATATATATATATATATATATATATATATATATATATATATATATATATATATATATATAATGGCCAACAACAAGCTGAATATGTTGGCTCCATGATCACGTTAAAATAATTTGGATTATGCACATAAATTCATGGTTAAAAAAACATTTTACAATGATTATTTTTTTCATCAAGCGACAATGAGAATAACTGTCATTTTCGGAACTATAAAAATGACAAAATAAATTTATTTTTGTACTAAGGAAATATTTTAAATAAACTTTCATGTGTCTAGATCAATATTCGTTTGTTAAAAAATGACTAAAAAAATTCGATTTCTATTTCATTTTCTGCCGTGGAATTGCCCTTATTACACAAATTTACAAATAAAAATTAAAAAAAAAAATTTGATTTACAAATATATTTTCACAAAACGCTACAAAACTTAATCTCATAAGTAATTGTGTTAGTTAAAAAAAACTATTTAACGACTTTACTTTTAAATTTAATTACCATCTAATATGTTTGCAATAATAACATTTTGTCTACTTTGTTCAATATGACGTACAAACGTTAGTTTTTTGAGGCAATAGAGTGAATGAAATTTTGGACAAGACGCATTTTTTTTAATCGAAGAAAAGCGTTTTTTTGAAAATTAAATTTGTGAGTGTGTGTTCATTACTACATTTTAGAAAGAATTATATACATTAAACTTTTTTTTTTTTAATGCTATTTTATATGAGATCATAACTTTATAGCACTTAGGGATCCCTTTAAAAGATAAAAGTTTTAATAAACACTAAAGATTTTTAAAAAAGATATAAAAAAAAAAAAAAATCAATTAAAATTAAAATAATAATAAAAAAAATGAAAGAAAAATACAGAAAAACCTAAAATAAGATAATGCATTTAATGATACTAACCTTGATTTCTTTTTTATAGTTTATATTTTTAATACATTGTCTTGCTTGATGTAGTGCATGAAAGTCATCAACAGCATAATAATCAGTAACACCTGAAGAGCTATAAAATTTAAAAAAATTTCAATTATTTTGCCTTGCTCAATGGAAGATATTTTAGGCAAAATTGTATATTATATATTAACATATCAAACAAACAAAAAAAGCAAAACTATATTCAAATTTTAAAAATGATCACAATATTATATAAAAACCATGAAACAGTTCCAAATTTTAAAAATGTCTAAATAAAAGGTGCAAAAATTAATGATATTAAATGAAACACACAATATGATACATAAAAGTATATATTACCGACAATGTAAATCAGCACCTCCTAATTGTTCTGCACTAATTTCTTCTCCTAGCGCTGCCTGAACCTGAACTTCAACAATAATATTGTAGACTATCGTATCATAACTAATTTTATAATTGTAAAAAAAAATTGAATTAAATATACCAACGGAGGTCCAGCAAGAAAAACTGTTCCTTGATTACGAACAATTATGCTTTCATCAGCCATAGCTGGTACATAAGCACCACCTGCAGTGCAAGAACCTAGGACAACAGCAATCTAAAACATATATAATTTAAATTATATATATATTTTTCTCTCGTGCATTCAGAGTAAAGCCATTTCGCACTTGCCCATACGTATGCAAATACTTTGGAATAAAAAACACTTGCTAAAAAATACAAGGGATTTTTAAAATTGAAACAGATATTTTTTGTTCATCCAATACTTTGATGAAAAATTGTAATAACACTTATGTACAAATGATTTTATTTAGAACTCAAATTAAACATGTCATTTTTATATTAATTATTTAATTTAGAATTTAAATAAAGACACTCCTTTTGCTTTTATATTCTACTTAATTTATAAAGAATTTAAATAAAACATTCACTTTGTTGCTTTTACTTTAATTTCTTTGTTTAAAATTTAAGTAAATCATTTATTTGCCTTTTTTTTAAATGTTTTATTTAGAATTTATTATTAACTTATTATTCATTTATAAGTATTTTTTTTTTTTTTTATTTAAACAAGAAATAAAAATTAATTTAATACTGATAATGACCATCCTGCCAGCACTTTTTTTAGAGCTCACATTAAATTAAAACAGAGAAGACTATATATTAAAAATTTATTATTATTATATTAAATTATATATATATATATATATATATATATATATATATATATATATATATATATATATATATATATATATATATATATATATATATATATATATATATTAGGGCTGTCCAAAAAAATTTTTTTTTTCAGATTTGATTGCATAGTTGTTTATTTTGTGCCATTTGACATATTAATTAACTGTGCAAAAAATCTTTCCGATCAGATAATGTTTAGGGGGTGCTCAATGACCATAAAGTTTTACGAAAAATGTGAAAAACATGGAAAAAGTAACAAAGTTCCACAAATTTCTAAAACCCGGTTAATTAGATTTTTCAGATTTGATCAGTTTTAATTATCTCTAAATATTAAATTCTGAATACAAATTACAATCCACATCCACTTTATACTGGTTTATTAGCAGAGAAATTAATGAAATAAAATACTGCAATACGACTAAAGTTCTGCGGTTTTTGTTATATCAGAATTTTTCCAAAATAAAACACTAAGATTTTTGACTCTTTGTCATTGATTAAAATACGAATTATAAACAAAAAAAATTATTGTAAAGGAGTAACAGTTTCTCAAACCGTTATCAACTACTAAGTAGGTCAACTCAAAAACATATGAGCAATTAACATTTAATTATCGTAATGTTATAGTTCGTGCAATGTTAATGCTAGCGAGGACTATAACTCTTCAGAGTACACTTTCTGGCATCTGGCACTCGCTTTCTGTGATCCTCAACCACCTGAATTAACCTCTGCATTTCAGATTCATTCCTTGTAATCGATTCATTAAACATCGACATTAAAGCCACAGATCGTTCGGCAGCATCATTTACTACTTCCAATGAATATACTAAATTTTTTCCTTCTTGGTATTCTGGGGAATCAATCCAGGTAGCTGGATCGTTGTTGAACAGAAAATCAATATCAACCTTCATTGACCGCAACGCACTTGCTGAAACTGATGTCACCAGCATGTCCAGAGATTTCTTCTCTAGACTTTAAATGTTCTTTAATTTGATCAACCTTTCAGACCAGTTCTCACCGTGAAATTTCATGTTGGAAATCATTTTTCGCTTCTCTTCCATTTTAAGTTTGTTTGAAAACAAAGCTAGTGGGACCAATTCTGGTGAAAGGTACCACAAATGGTTTTGAAATTTATTGACTGCTGCTTCGGAAATCGTTTTATTCACAACTGCAAACTGCTGAAGTTGCTGAAACAGAAACAAGTCATTAACTGGAGCATCGCTGGCATTTGGGCATGATATCCAAGATTTTACATAAACCAGACTAGCAAATAAGCAAAATTCACAGAGATTTTTTTCCTCTTTTGTGGTCAACTTGAACTCTTCACGAAATAAATAAATCTTAAAACAATAAATAACCTTGGCCATCCAGCGAGCCATGTGATAAGCACCAGGGATCTTGAAATGATAATTTTTCTCTTCTTGATCAGGCAGTTTTCCAAGTATTAACAGACAGAGATCCATGATTTCTTTGTAGTCATCCCTTGGCATTTTAACATGCAGGTTTTCTTTGAGGAATGCCATCACTTCATTTTGTAGTTCTTGCACCAGGGGTATTTTCATTCGAATGTCATCCAGAGGTTTAAAAATTCCTTGATTAACTTTGGGCCAATATTGCTGAAATCTCTGGAAAAGAGGTATGTTGGGACCAGATGATGGTCCAAATAGTTATCCAAACACTCCTGCTACTATGATCTCATGAACATGGTGTCTGCAAGCAAAATATAACAAATTTCTACCTATATGTTTCTCTAGAACTACACATGCACCATTTTCGGAGCCAGTGTTAGAGGCTGTAGTATCAAAACTCATTCCAATAACATCACCAATTATGTCCCAGAAATTAAGCAGATGAATAACTGCTTTTGCTTGGGCTTCTCCAGTTCCAGCTGATAGTTTTGCTATTCCAAGTATTTTGTCAACATTGTGACCTGTCACACCTACAGATAGCCAGTCAACATTTGCTTTAGGGTCTGCAGAATTTGTACGATCTATCATCAGTTTGCCATCCCAGTGGACGATTAATGGTGGTTTGTCCAAATCGCAGAATTCAGTTCGAACAGTGGCTTCAATGTTTGATCGATGATAGGTTCGTTTTCTACGGACTGTAGAACGTGACAATGATCCATCATCGAGGTTCTGTCCACCAGCCCTTGCAATTGCTGCTGCTAGTATAGTAAATTTTGTGTCAGATAGATTAATTATGTCTAATGTTGATGAAACATCAGGCGAGTCAAGAATTGTATCTAAGATACATTGTCGTTTTGGAGTACTTGCTAAACTTGATTCAGCTGACCCTGAAGAACTTGCTTTACTGACTTGTTGTCTGTAATAAACAGGGATTTCTATCTCAAAATCTCTACCAACCATTTTGTCATTATCAACAGCATCGTTATCGTTGTCATCACTATAACTTTCGTCATGTAAAGGTTCAATAACAGGAACTATTGCACTCGCACCAGATTGTCTTTGCTCTTCTTTTAGCTTTGGTTCTCTCTCTGCTTGTTTCCTTGCTTTATTTCTTGCTTCTAATTTTGAAAGTTCTTTGTCCTCTCCAAACATCACCATTTTTCTCTGACATCTCTGATCCAATAAAAATTCTTCATCTTCTTCAATTCTGATCATGGTTTCAGCATCCTTGTGGGCAATGTCAAAAAGTAGGCCAATTGTGTCTGTAAATGATTTCTCTCTTGATTTCTGAGAATCTGACAATCTGGATTTTTTTTTTTTTTATTAATTTAAATTCCTGGACTAAAGTTTTCAACTTTAAGATTACATTCGGATGGGATGCTGTCGGAATACGGGCTTTATTCCAAATAATAATCAGTTCATCAACAGTTGTTTTAAGACTTTCAGGCACTGAATTTTTGGTTGAATTAAGATGTTAAAAAAATGTTTTTAAAACATCAGATGTTAAGGAAAGAACTTTATCTGGAAGATTTGGCTCTGGTTGTCCAATTAAAAAGATTTCGGTTTGAAGTCGTGTAGAGATAGCAACACGAGATGATGCTGCCATTTCAATGATAACTGAAAAATTATGAGAAAATCAAAACTCAATACCATATTATACAAACTTATCATTCAGTTGTTGGTTTATGCAGCTGCAGCAATATATAATAATAATTTTTACTAAAGAAATTAAATAAATATTTTCAAATTAGAAATTATTATTATCTGCACTTAATAACAAACAATACACTACCAGACTACCATGCTAGTTTTCTGTAATAGGTTACTAAGGTTAGGTACTATCAAAATATTAAGACATTTGTTGTAAAACTGAAATTCCAAATAAAAATAATATTTATACTTGTAAACCTTTTTATTCTGTTTGAACAAATTCTAAATTGAGTTAAATAATAGTATTAAAATTATGAATACAAATTTTAACAAAATGATATAAACACAGTTGTTTTAAACACTAGCAGACATTTTTTAGTCTGGTGCCCTGATGACAGTTAATCTGCTGCACTTTAATTAATCTATATAGCACGCAATCAGACAATATTTCAGTGGAAAAAATCTAACTAACCAGGTTCTAGAAATTTTTGGAACTTTGGAACTTTTTCCACGTTTTGACGTTTTTCGTAAAACTTTATGGTCATTGAGCACCCCCTAAACATTATCTGATTGGAAAGATTTTTTACACAGTCAATTACTATGTCAAATGGCACAAAATAAACAACTATGCATTCAAATCTGAGAAAAAATTTTTTTTCCTGTGTTCACATGAACAGCCCTAATATATATATATATATATATATATATATATATATATATATATATATATATATATATATATATATATATATATATATATATATATATATATATATATATATATATATATATATATATATATAATAATAAATTTTTAATATATAGTCTTGTCTGTTTTAATTTAATGTGAGTTCTTAAAAAAGTGCTGGTAGGATGGTCATTATCAGTATTAAATTAATTTTTATTTCCTGTTTAAATTAAAAAAAAAAAAAATACTTATAAATTAATAATAAGTTAATAATAAATTCTAAATGAAACAATTTTAAAAAAAGGCAAAATGATATATTGATATATTGATATATATATATATATATATATATATATATATATATATATATATATATATATATATATATATATATATATATATATATATATATATATATATATATATATATATATATATATATCAATATAGGGATTGATATTGGACTTGCTGGATTTCCGGACAATAATAAATTCAAGGAATGCAACCACTAGTATCAACCCTATTTGTTGCTAAACTAACATGATTCAAAATAAAATTAAAAAAATAATCTAGTAAACCTTAATAAATCAAAGTATTTTTTGTTCCTATTTTTATTTCATACTTACAATTTATTATTTTTGCCTCTATCAAAAAAATTATTTCTATAATGACACCTTATATCTTGCCACTTTATAAGATATAAAGCTAAATTGATATTTTACCTGTGGAATTTTTTGAGCAGACATATTAGCTTGATTAAAGAAAATTCGTCCAAAATGATCACGATCTGGAAACACTTCAGCTTGGCGCGGCAAATTTGCACCCCCAGAGTCAACTAAATAAATTTGTTGGTTCAATGTAAATTGTCAAATATTTTAAAATTTAACTAGTTAATAAACTTACCTAAATATACACAAGGAAGTCTATTTTGCTGGGCTATTTCTTGAGCACGAACATGTTTTGCAACGGTAATTGGATAATAGGTTCCACCTTTAACTGTAGGATCATTAGTCACAATCATACATTCGACGCTAAAGCAATTACACAATCATATTACATTTCTAAGACTCTTTTACAGCCCTTAGAATTAGGGTCGCCATTCAGCAATGCCATCCTAACTGCTGACCTAGAAACGTTTGAGGTTGTTAAAAAATCATCGACCTTGTTCCTATATTTTATAGGAAAACCTTTGTATCAAATTTTTTTGTTGTTGAACTCTAATTAATTAAAGAGATCCTCAACTGCCACAACAAGTTTTATTCATATTAAAGAAAATGTTTAAAAAAAACATTTAGGCTAAATTTTTTTGATTAAAACTATATAATGAATGCACACCACTAATTTTAAAATTCACGTTTTAGTCGAAGCTTGCTGTCTCCATTTTTTTTTGGTTCTCGGAGTCTGCATGTTAGGCCCAATCTGCAGACTTGATAACTTATTCCATTCGTGTTAATTCATAACAGTTTCGGTATATGACATCATCGTATAAACTTTTTTTTTCAAGATGTCCTATAATTTTTTTTACCAAAATCACCAAATCATGTAAATTGTATAACTTTTTACTAAATCCCAAAAAAAAGTTTATGATGCAATTAAAAATTAAATTTATTAATTTTATAAAAATAAAAATTTAATATATAATGAATATTTATAGTAAACGTAGTGGATACTAAAAGATTAATTTTACAAAAGCGTATAAATTAATTTAAAGTATAAACTGAAAAAAAAACCGAGTGACTTAAAAAAAACATATTAACTGAGCTAAGTAGAAAATAAATATTAAACGACTTATTTTACTAATAATCGTTCAACTCAAACTAAATTAAAGTTAACACAAATATTTGTACTAAAATATACAAGAAATAGATATAATATAAATATAAAAACAAAGAATCACATTAAATTGTTCGCTACCAGCCGAACAAAAATCTTTTTGAAGCAATCGCACATTTTTTTGAATAACATTTAAATAGCATAACATCAGCAATTAATTAAAAATTTGTATAAATTTTTACTAAATCACAAATATTTTTTGTGATTTAGTAAAAAATTATACAAGTATTTGATTTTCTGATTGTAGTAGAAAAAATACTTATATCTTTAAAAAAACAACAACAAAACAACACTATCTTAAAAAGATATTATGATGACGTCATATACTGAAACTATCATAAATTAACACACATTGAATAAATTATCAAGTCTGCAGATTGCAGCTAACATTATACAGACCCCGAGAACCAAAAAAAAATTGAGAAGATGAGCTTCGGCTTAAACGGTAATTTTAATTTTGTTGGTATGCATTCATTATTTAGTTTCAATCAAAAAAATTTAGCCCAAATGTTTTTTTTCTATAATATAAAACAACTTGTCTCGGCAGTTAAGGATCCCTTTAAGATTGGCAAACTATTGCTAACCTCATTTTTCCTATTTCCGAGGGCTGCTTTGATACATTACATAACTTTCACTATAGGTTTTTTTTTATTAAACAAAAAACGGATTTTTCTTACATTATACAGTTTTTAACACTAACTTAAATTACCTACTAATTATATTGCATTTTTTATTACAGTTTTTTTTCATGAAATAAGTCAAAATATTCTCAACATATCAGACATTTGTTAGAAAGAGTAGTAACTTAAAATTAATATCCTACCCAGAGATTCTTCCAATTCCAGTAATAATACCGCCTGCAGGCACTTTTTCATCTCCATATAATTCATGGCCTGCAAGTTGAGAAAATTCCAGAAATGAAGAACTGAAAAAAAAAATTTTTGATATAAAAAACCAAAACTCAAAATAAAAAAAATTTATAAAAGCTTTAAGCGTAAACATTATTATAGAGAAATATTACCAAAACTTTTCAAACGATGCATATCTATGCAAACAAAACATAAATAAGTATAAAACTAATATAAAAATGTGGTATAAAACCAAGATACTTTAAATCTAATAAGGTTGTGATCCTATCTCTAGGTAACATTTTTTTGCGCATAACATGACTTGCTTTTGCTTTTTCACCACCTCCTAAAACAAAAATTTGTAATTTTTCAACAAAACTATATACAGTAGAATCCTGTTAACTCGGACTCTGAACAGGTATATATATTATGTCTGAAATGTCGAACTGGAATTTATTACTTATGAAGCAAGCGCTCTACCACTACTACTATTACAGGGTTCAAAGCCAATTATTTATATGAAATTCCCTGACTTTTTGCTGACTTTTCACTGACTGTTTTTAAAAATCAGATGAATTTCCCTGACCATTTTAAACATTGGCAATATTTTATAAAATGTTTAAAATTACTATCTACTATAATGGAAATGCTAAAATTGCTATGCATGACAAAACTTATAAAACTTAGTTATTAGTTAAGTTGAATATCAGAATGGATCTTATTATACATGTTAGTATGGATCTTATTATTTAGATTGACTATGAATGAACACAAAGAAAAACATAGGTTTCAGAAAAACATAAGTTTTAGATGATCTTCAAAAAAAACTAAACAATGTGCGCATAAGATATTTTAAAATCATCTTTCACACAAAAGTTAACTGAAATATTTATTTAATATAAAGTTGTAAACAATATCTTTCAACATCTTATGCAATAGTTGGTCTATAACAGAGACTACTTTGGGTTAGTCATTTGTTATCACTATTTGTAGTTGTACCTTGATTATCATTATTTTTAGCTATACCTTTGTTATCACTATTTTCAGCCGTACCTTTGTTATCACTATTTTTAGCTATACCTTTGTTATCACTATTTTTAGCTGTACCTTTGCTAATCTAACAATATCTTCTGATAAAAACAGCACAGTATTACAAAACATAACTTAGAAATATTAAAAAAATATTATGAGCATCAATAGCCAAACTAACCTATTAAATTGTGCATGATCTAGTTCTTTTAATTAAATACATCATCAACTCAAAATATAGAAGTTTAAACAGACGTTGCTTAAACAAGTTGTAATAGGGTCTAGAAACAGAAACTGACACATTGTCTGTTTAGAAAAATTTTAGTGAAAAGCAATTACCTGGTTAAACTTTAAAATTGCAGTATAAAAATCATAATGGATATAACAAATCTTGACAAGTTTTTAAATTACTTTTAACATAATCCTTCTAAAGAAAACAATTAAAAAGGTCTACTTCATCATATACAATCCTTTAAACGTAAAGAAAATATAAGCAAAATCTTTTATTAAGCAAAAAACAATTAAAGCTTTTCAACTGCAAACTAGCCATATTAGCATAAATATGGCTATTATCATAAGTAATTTTTTATATCAACAAATTTTCAAAAAGCAACAATTGATAATTCAGTTTCTTTTTCTTTTCCTCCATAGCAATGTTCCCTGCAACCTAGCAACGCCTTTCATTTTCTCATCACTATTCCTTTTTAAAGCATTGGCTTTGTTGACCAATGATATGTTGGTTTTCTTTTCAGCTTGTTACACACTGAAAAAAAACTCTTTTTCTAACATCAATTAAGATTTTGTAAGGAGACTCATTTGAGGTTTCAGTACTTCAGTTTCAGACAAAATAATGGCTTTCTGACCTAGCATTGCAAGTTTTTTATACTTTGATTCCTTGTCATCAAACATGAGTTCATATTTTTGATGCGCAATTTTAAAAACAGCTTTCATTTCTGATGTAATCTGGAGATTGTGGGTGTTTAGGGTGTGTGGGTGTTTAGGTTGTTGGTAAGCATGGAATCACACACAAGGCGCTGCTCAACAATACCATCTGTTGATATATTGTTAGTAACAACATCCTTATTGACACCAAACCCCCGTTCAACTGATGCCTGTCCATGACTCAGAATCAGAACCAACTAAATGACTGATAATTACTCTGGATACTTTATGTCAATATCTTTTAAGTAAAAATCATCGAAGCATTTATTCTTTTGATCATAGCTAATGAAAACATTTATTGTAAATTCTGTTGACATAAACTTTGAGAACTGGTTGAGAACTTTGTCCGAATCAGAAGCAATTAAAATTTCAAGTAAGACAAGATAATTTGGCAGCAAAAAAATACTCATGATAACAACCACAGAATGAAGCAGATATCTTTTAAATAACTCTTTTGCAGCTGAAATCAAATTATGCATGCATTGAATTTTAAATTTTTCAATAACCTTCAAAATAACTGCATCATTTTTTCTGAGCTTTGACAGTTTTGAGCAAGTCTCAATAGTATCAGATTTAATGAGCATCCTAAGAATACCCAACTGCTCAAGATCACTACTCATAAGGTAACCTCGAAGCATCTGTCTGATAGAGCTTCAGAAACAATTCAAATATGCTTGCCAGGAAGCTAAAGAACTAGAATCTTAAAAGGGAAGGTTCCTTTTTAATAGCATTTACAACAAACTTATATGATTTGCCAGATGGCAGTTTACTTTTAGACAGAGCCCCCAAATAAATTACAACTCTTATAATAGAAGGCCAAATTTAGTATTTAATCTTTCTGCTGCTTTTTTTGTCTTTAACACAACTGGTTGCACAAAATGCAATAAATAAGCAACCCCAATACCACACTTCAACTTGCATTTTTTCTATTTCAATATCGGATAAATCTTATTTGACAAGTTTGAGTTATCTTGTCGAGGGATTCATCGAAGGACACAACAAGCCAGGGAGACAGACTTTGTTGTTGTTTAAGTAAAGCTTTGAAATGAGGCCCAATACCTTGAGAGACGCATTATCCAACTTTATTTGGTCCCATCTAAAAAGATTTAGCAATCTCACTGTCAGGAAACATATCTTGGAACAAATTTGTAGCATCTTTGTTTGAATTCTTAGAAATTTTATTTAAGCAACAATGCAATGCCCGCATAGTTTCTGCACAAGTTTCATCAGAACTTGATATAATGAGTTCTAAAGAATGTGGCTTCATAATGTGTCCTTTTGAGAAACTATCAGTTATCTTTTAAATTAGACTCTTCAACTGAATTAGGTGAATTAATATTTTTACTTATTTATTTATGCTCCTTGAGAATCAACGCCATGTTAAATATTGAGACCATTCTAATTACAGTTTCGAAATATTCATAGAGATCAGAATTTCATAATATCCATGTTTATCAAGCTTGTACTTAAAAAGTTTTACACTTTTAGCGGAAATGAATATTTCTGGTAGTTTATTCCATCATTTTGCAACTCTGTCAGAAAATTTTCCCTTGATCTGTTTATTTTTATTAGCTCAATATCTGTGTGCTTTATGTCCTCTAATGTTTGCAGCTGGGCCATTTGCTGAAATAGAAATTGCTGTTTTTGGTTGTTGATACCAAAACACTTAGTCCAAATTATGAAAAACCTTATAATATAAAATTAAATCATATCTTATTTTCTTGGTTTTTAAGGAAGTCAGTTGAGGTTTTTTTAACCTTTCTTCATAGGGTAGGTGCCTTAATTCCGGAATCAATTTAGTTGCTTGTTGTTAAACACTTTTTAATTTATGAATATTAATTTTATTATAAAGGTTCCATATTGGTGATGCACATTCAAGAATAGGTCTTACCAAAGTGCAGTACAAAATCTTCATTATATTTTTGTCTTTGTAAGTAAATGATTTGGGTAATTGACCTAATTGACTATTTGCTTTATATACAACCATATTTACATGATGATTCCACATCATAGTAATTGAAATTGACACACTAATGACTTTTTTCATTAGTTGTTGAATCTAATTTTGAATCTTTTATACAATTTTCAAAATTCTTATTATGTTTTCCAAAATGCATGATTTGTTGATGTTGAAATTTATCATCCATTTATCAGACCATTCAGTTAGATTTTAATATCGTCTTGCAAGCTTTTTAAGTCTACCCGGTTGTTAACTGCGGCAATAATTTTGATATCATCTGCATAAAGTTTGCATATATTATTAATTTCAGAGGGTAAATCATTAATATATAACAAGAACAATAAGGGTCCAAGTTCAGAACCTTGTGGAACACCGCTCAGAACCTCTAACCAACCTGATTTTGTATCGTTAATTATAACACATTGTTTTCTATTTGATAAATATGCTTCTACCCAATTTAGCATTTCATTTTCTAACCACATAATTTTCATATATCTCTTATGAGGCACTCTATCAAAAGCTTTTTGAAAATCAGTATATAAAATGTCTACTGAATTGTCTATCATTAGTTGGTATGTTATAAAATCTAAGGATTCTAATAAATTTGTTATATAATTTTTAACTTTTAAGAACCCATGTTGTTGATTAAAGAAAAGAGTATTTGATTTTAAATAATTTTTTAATCTATCACTTATAATTTTTTTCTAATACTTTGCAAGGTATGGATGTCAAAGATACTGGTCAATAATTTATTGCTAGCATTTTACTTCCATTTTTAAATATGGGACTTACATTAGTCATTTTCCAGAAATCAGGAAAATTACTATTTATTAAACTTTGTTGATAGATGATTGAAATTGGTATTGAAAAACTTTCAGAGCAGACTTTTAACACATAAGGCAGGCCTTGTTTTAAATAACAAATGCTTAACACATCAAATTAATGTGAATTTAACGTCATAAAATTTTCTTTATCTTATTATTTTTTAAAGACATAAACTTTTTCAAATTACTGCAATAATATTAAGATTACCGCAAAACGAGTTAAATATTGTTTAACTCATTTCTTTCATTTTTTTTAATATTAAATAATTAAATTTGATATTAAATTAAAAAAAAAAATTTTCATGTAAAAAATTATTTTCTTCAACATTTGTATAAATGAATTAAAATATGTTAATTTTAAAAAAAAAACATTTTTTAATTATTAAAAAAAAGTTTATTTGCACACTTTTTTTAATCATCAATAAAAAATTTTAACTAAAAAAGATTTTTTATTTTAAAAAAATTAGCGAGTAACATGAAAAAATTAGGTTAATTTATTTACTTTTATTTATCAAAAGTTTATCGCTTATATCTAACATAATTGTCATTCAAACTTTTATACATAATCGTCAAAGTGGTTTTTTATAAACGTAATTACTTCTTTTATCTTACCGCTTAATAGAGTAATTTAAAAGTTAAAAAAATATCAAAAATTGCTTCATGCAAATTACTCTAGGCGTACATGATTCCTACATAAATTGCTGGCAGCGTAACGCTTTAAAACAAACTCTGATAAGGATTTACTTCGCCATACCCACTAGTCTTGTTTATGTCTAATTTTGACAAATAAGAATTCACAAGGGCTTGATCAACAAATATTTTTCCTAACTTGCTATTTGTTTGTACTTCAAAATTACAATCATTTGTATTTTCTTCTTTTATGTAAACAGAATGAAAAAACTTGTTCAAAATACCACTAACACTAAGTTTGTCATACCTTGTTGAGCCAGTATTATTAATAAGCGCTCTTATTTGATTTTTTACTTTCTGCTTTTTTCTAATATATGATATAGTATTTAAGGTTCATTTTTTACCTGATTTACCAAGTTTCGTTCATAATTTTTAACAGAGTTATTTTTATTCACAATAGGTATATATTTCTTGCATGATTGATTGTAATGATATAAAAACTTATCATAACATTTGTCAATGCATGTGTTTTGAAATTCGTCATCCCAATTTATGCTTTTTATATAAATGACCATACTCAATCCAAGTCCATATTTGCTCGATAAGATCGAATTTAGCAGCAGCCGGTATATAAAAAAAAAAAAAAAAAACGGAGAAATTGCTAGCAACTGAAATATGCTTTTATCCTTTTTCGTAACTTTTATGTGCTTGAATATCGTATTCGAAAGTTCAATTATTTTATGGCATAACTTGCATTTAGCCTAGGGATTATCTTTCCCTTTCATTAGCCAAGAATCAAAATGAAGGTAAGTGTCTTTGTATAACCATGCTTCTTTGAAAGCCTTTTTTTGCTTTCTTTGAAAGCTTTGAAATGCTTTTTTTGAAAGCCTTTTTTTAATTATAGAAATAGTTTTAAACTATCTAAATTGATTGTTAAAAAATATATATTATAAATAGTTTTTTTTATAAGTAAAAAAAGAACATTATTGTAATAATAAAATAACAACCATAGATAATTTGAATAAAAAGTGTTTATTGAAAACAATTGTTAGTAATTAACAAAGTAATTTGTTACTTGATTCAAAAGCTTTTTTAATAATATAAACACATCAGATAATATAAAAGTTGTTTATTCTAAATGTAATTTAATTAAGAATTAAAATGTAATTAGGAGTTTTAGTTTCTTATGTTTACTTGTTTATTATGCTCTCTTTTGTTAAGATTTCTTTTTTTTTTTTAGTTTAGTTTGCTGCTATTTTCTTTTCAGTTCATGTTTATTACAATTTTTAAAAAATTTAAAAGCCGTGGTAAAATTGCATGGTCATATAATGGCGTGCGACCACATGCAATCCTGTGAAACACAGTAGGGTATTTTTTAATTGTCAAAATAAAGTAACAGGTAACCAACCAAAACCAAAACCAACCAAAACCAAAACCAAAACCAAAACCAACAAACCAAAACCAAAACCAAAACCAACCAAAACCAAAAAGCACCAACAAAAACATAATTGCTTAATTGTAACATGAGTAACTTCTCAATTAGAATTTCCTAACTTTTTCCTGACTATCTAATTAAAAAAAAATTCTTTGACCTTTCCAAGTTTTCCATGACTTTAGCCTTAATCAACTAATTTTCCAGGTTTTCCAGGTACAATACGAACCCTGTATTGCTTCATTTAATCTGACTCACTACTCACTCTCATTTCATTTGACTTGGTGTTGTTTTTCAAGTGATTTTAAATATAGATTATTTCATTAATGTAAATTATTATTTTAAATTAATTTGAGTAAATTTTCTTACAAAAAATACAAATAAAATTATAATTGCAGAATAAATAAACATAAACTATTAACCTTAAATTTGAAAAACTAAAGTAGTAAATTTAAAATGAGAAAATTTAAAACCATATTTGTTAATTTTATAAAAACATAAATTTAACTAACCTTCTTTAATAACATTGCAGACATCTTTCAAGTCTTTAACTAACATACGCAATTGATAATCATTGTCCTAAAAATATATATATTTAATAATATTAACTCACTTTTAAAATAATGTTAACTTTATCTACTTATACTTAAAATTAACTTGATACATTATACATGTGATAATGGTTGATCATTAAAAAAGTGCATTGTTATCTTTTTAACTATTTTATAGTTAATTATACTGTTGGTGACAAATTTGCAACACTTAATCTTTTGTGGGAGCATCAGAGGGTAGTCTACAAAAAAGAAAAATATTTTAAACGTTTTGGTTTTGGGGTAAATTCTGCCCAAAAATTATGTCTTCATTCTTATTCTGTGTTGAATCTTGATGCAGGCATTAATGAAGCAGCTGATTATACATTGGCAATATAATCATTAATTTGAAAAAGACATCAATTGAAAATGTTGTAAACCATTTGGCACGTTATGGATTGGTAACCAAAGAGCTATAGCAATGTGATACTACACAGATGTTAGGTTTGCAATTATTTAGAAATGAAAAAAAAGAAGCTTTTTTGGAAACAAGGAAACATCATTTCAAAGTCACAAGATATTAAAAATGAAAAAGTAACATGACAGAGACTTTTTTGAATAAACAGACACTTATTAGGTTACTATCCAGTTGGAGGTTGGCTCAGAATTGCCTGCAGTTTTATAAAACGTCATATTCAAGGAGATGATTGGGATGATCTAATTGGAGATTAAGCTCAGTCATGGTTAATTAAAATACTGCGCCAATTGGAAGTTAGTGTGAGAGGGAAATGGAATGCTGAAGGGATTCAAAATGGAACAACATTGTTGTGTGATGCAAGAAGCATGGAAATGGAAGTTGCAACAGAATACGATACCGTAATAATGGAGGATGCAGCCTGACTTTGAAGTATTAATGATGTGATGCATATTGATATTGCTGAATTAGATGCTGTGGTGGGTGGGATAAACCTAGCTGCTAAGTGGGATATAAAGAACCTTCTTTATATCCCAGGTTTTATAGTCACTCAAAGCATCATTTTGGGCATTAATTTGACAATGTTTACAGTGAACATGTGACATGTTTACAATGAAGACCTCTGCACATATTGAGAAAAGGCGTTGAAGAACATGTACACAAATGTTGTAAATGTAATTGAATTGATCCAGCACCAATAAAATGGTAACTCTGAGTGCTAGATGTACTAGATACATGGTATCTACCAATTTAAGAGGAGAAAAATAATGAAACTCAGTAAAGATCACAACGAATTATGGAAACTTTAAGAATTGGAGAAAAAGTTTATGTTTACCACGCCGATTTTTGTCATATTATAAAGTTAATTGATGTAATTTGTAACTGCTATTTACATAAGCTATTTTTGTATATAGCATTTTCAACAAAAATTCAAAAATAAAATGCTGTAGATCTAAAACAGATAGATTTTAAACCGATAACTTAAATAAATATGAAGGTAATTTTGAGGAGATTTTAAAAAGTAGGTTATTATTAAATATGAATAAATTTTTGTAAAATTATACCTTATAATCTGTTGCATTTTTATTTAGTTTAGATTTTATTATTCCAGCACCAGAAACATCATACATCAATCTTGAAGGAACTTTAGTAAATGATAAAATAGAAGAACGCAAATTGGCATTCTTACAGAATCTTAGTGCCATTATTTCTTGCAGCCTATACGCAACGGTTAAGACTAAACTACCGTTAAGCATAAACAATTCAGTAAATTTCCGATACCGAATCCGAAATTGACACCGGTAGCCCGATTTTATAGTAAGTATGACTCCAAAAAAGCAACTTTTTACAAATAAAAATAAGGTATCGCATTTTTAATCTAATGTCTAAGATAATTATTAGACACTTATATTTGATAACACCTTTAGAACAAAAAGCACTAACTCTAAAACACTTTAAGAAATCTTAGATGAATAGCCAGTTTAAATTCCTGCAGGTCCAACGGAGTTTTAGAAAAAAGAAAAATGACAGAAAGTTTGATTACTAAAGCCATTTTAAATTGTTCAAGTAAAATTTGTAAAAAAAATTTCAGCCTAATCTTCACTTGAGTATAAGATTATTATATTATTATTTGACAATATGATAATGATCATTTCACAATCAAAAATCATTTAGGGGGGAGGGGGGGAACGGTTAAGTTAACGGTTGAAATGTATAGTTCTCTGTGACAAATTATCTGTTTCTTAAACCAATCCGAAAATTAGTTTTTTTACTTGTTTTATTGTATACACTAAGCTTTAAAATAACATCTTTATAACATGATTCAATTCTAAAGTTTACATTTTAACGTTATATTTTGCATTATTTTTATATTTATACTGTTTTGTTATTAAATAATGTTATATTTGCGTTATGTTTAAGGCCGGCGCAATAGGGATGTGTGTGTGTGGAGGGGGGTGACACCCCTCCTTACTCCCCCCCCCCCTCCCATCAATGATTTTTTGTTCATTTAGTCGGCAAATTTGACCCTTTTTGATTAGTTAGTCGGCAAAAGTAGACTTTTTCGACAAGTTAGTCGGTAAATTAAGACCGTCAGTCGGCAAACATCGATATGGCAATGGGGTGGCAGTCGGCATTTTTTAAAAAACGAGGACCTTTTTTTTTTAATCGTCAAAAGTTGTAATGAAATCCCCCCCCCCCCCACCCCCACGTGACACCTATTTGCGCCAGCCCTGTTTGTGTTGTTTTATTTAACTTTGGAATGTAATTTGTTATTTTTTCTCTTATAAAAGATAAAATAACTAACGGTTGAAGATAAAAACGATTTAAAGATAAAAGATAAAAAACGAATTTCTTTTTCTTAGTTTCCTTAAAAGATGAAAAAATGACTTCGTCGATAGTGTAATGATTGTGACAAAATAATTGTTTACTTTATTGCGTAATCATCATGCTCAACGACATTTATATTTTATATTTGTGCTGTTTTTTTAAATATCACAAAATAGGAGTATCAGCGCTTAACGTCCTTATGGAATATTTAATAACGATAAAGCAGCCGTGTTGCAGTGGATAGAGTTCTGGCTCAGAACCAATAGGTCCGTAGTCAAAGCGACATGACAGTTTACAAAATCACATTTTTAACTTAACATTAGTATTTTTTCAAAACTAGTCTGTTTTATTAACACATGTTAGTGTCCTCATACAATAAATTCCAGAAAAACCCCAGATGCAGTCCTCTGAAAAATACAGGTTTTTGTTGTGCCTGATGCGTATCCCAAACCTAAATAATAAAAATAAGTTAGTTTTTGATAAACATCATCTAAAACATGTTTGAATGGTCATTGTTTAATTTAAAAATTACAATTTTATAACTTTTAAATATTATTCAACGACTGCCTTTTAAATATATTATATTTGCCCTATTAATATATTTATATTTTTTTTAGATTGATAGGTCCAAACAGCATTCCCACAAATATTCTTATAGATTTCAAACATAAATTTTCAAATATTCTTTCTAAAACATTTAATACATTCATAAAAGGAACATTTCCTGATATTGTGAAGTTATCTTGTGTTGTTCCAATATTTTAAAATGGCTCTAAACTTATATGCACTAACTATTGACATATTTCTTTTTCATCCAACATTAGTAAATTTTTTGAAAAACGTGCATTTTAAGTATCCTAGAAATACTCTTTTCTAAACTCATTTAAGTGTTTAAATGATTTTCAATTGAGTTTTTTTTATCAAACCATTCTACTCAGGGCCGCCGAGAACTGTCATTCAGCAATCCTGGCTGGCGCCCTTATTCATCAAATTTTCTCAATATTATATATGAAGGACCTTTTTCCTTTTTTTTTTTTTTAGGTACCTACATTTCATTAGGCGCCCCATGGATATCTACCGCCCGGGACAAACTGTCCCGATGATCATATCTCTCGGCGGCCTTGATTCTACCTGCAAGGCGTTAATAAGTATATCTGAAATCATAAAAACTTTTGATGCTGTTATTTTTTTGTCGTGTTTTTAACGATTTATAAAAAGTTTTATATATAGACTATAACACTTTGATTTCTAAATTAAGGTATTATGGATTTTGCGATGTTGTAAATAAATGTTTTGAACTTACTTTATAGATAAAAAATCAATTTGCAAGTATAAATGGGTTTAATTCTTCTTGGTCTGCTATTGTTTTTAATTTACGTTAATAATATAACTAACTCGGTTTACTTCTTGTCTGTTCATTTGTTTGCTAATGGTACAAAACTCTTGCATATCAATAAACCGTATCATTTTTTATTTAAAAATATAACTTCGGATCTGAAAGGTGTAGTTGACTTGTTAAACACTGACCTATTATGTCTTAACATTGAAAAAACTGAACTATTTTTTTTTCGAGAAAAAACTATTTTCACTATAATGTTGAAACTAATTAATCAAAGTTAATAATTAATAGCCGTTTATTAATAAATAGTAAAAAAGTATATTTTTCAAGGCTTATTAAATATCTTGGTGTATTGATTGACGGCAATCTTTCATGGCAATTTCACATTAATGGCAATTTCACATTAAAGCAGGTATTGAATTTAATTAATGGCAATTTCACATTAAAGCATGACGAATTGAAGAAAGCATTTTGTTAGCAGGTTTTTCGCTACGCAAAAAACATACTAACAACATGCTTTCTTCAATTCGTCATTATGTCAATAAATTAACCCTTAAATATGTTTACTAGACATTATTCTCATCTTATCTTAGTTACCGTTGTCAAGTATGGAGTCAAATTAAAACTATTAAACGAACAAGTTGCTATCGTCTTAGCGTCAATCAATTAGAACAATAAACTTTCAGCGATTTAAATCAGAAACATCAGAGCCCTTCAAAAAACTTAACATTCCAACCATTTCGGCGCCAGTTTGTTTTTGACTCTATAAATAAAGTTTTACTTTCTTCAATTAAAAGCTTTTTCTCAGAAAGTAGACTAGTACATTTATACTAGCAATATATATAATAAAAGTTTACCATCCTAAAAAACTTAAAAATATGGTAAGCATTCTTTTGTCAATCAGTACGTTGAAAAGGACTTCAAAAAGCAACACTGCTCACTAAACCAAAAAGAAATATTTTTACTTTTTCTCGAAACAAGTTATTGGTATCATTATATAGTATGAAGGATACTACTAAGATACTGCACATATCTACTGAGCCAAAATGACGTATATAGTTGATTACCCTCCTGAAAACTGATAAGAAAAAATTTTTAGGCAGGTGCGATTTTCAATTTTGTAACATACTTAATATTCAACAATTATGAAATGTTGAGACATCTGTTTGGCTTTGTAGGGCAAAACAACTTCAAACACCTTTACCATCTATACTTCATTTTAAACAAAATCAAATAATAAAAATTTATAAATTTTTTATTGTTATTGCTACAGTTATTATCAGTACTTTTTCGTTCGTTTTTTTTTTTTTTACCTTTTTAAATTATTATTACGTGCAAACAATGATTTCTACATCTTTATTTTGAATGTATGTTCTACGTCTATGTGCTTACTATTAGTCATATTATTTTTAAAGTTTGATCACATTCTTTTGACCAGACTTCTGCATGATTGTTTTTTTATAATAATGATTACAAATTTTTATTTCAATAATTATTTTTACCACTTATTTTATTACTATGATTGTAACTATTTATTATGATTATAACATGTTATTATGATTATAATTATTTTAGTTTATTAAAAATGTAAAACTGGTTAATGAAAAATAATTAGCTTGCTGTTTATTTTTTGTTAACTAACCAGGTTAATTAATTAAAAATAAACGTGAATACTTTATACATGTTTGTTTTAATATAAAATATTTCTTATTTTTTAAGAAAATGTGTAACACACTTTAATTTAATCTATTAATTAAAATACATTATTATTATTGTTACTTATGTTATTTAAAGGTTTAGATTGTTTGAATTTCAACAAGTTATATTAACGTAATACTTTTATTTAGAATTTTTCGATTCGAGCTTAAGAATAAAAAACTCAGTCCGATGATTACACTATGTAACAGAATTTTTGTTCCTGGCTTGCAAGTCTTATATTTCAATTGCTTACGCCTAAAGTATGCGAAAAAATGACTTTATTAAGCACAAATTTTGCTTAAACAACAAAAGCACAAAGAAAACTCTTTTTTGTGTGAAAATAGAACGATTTGTTTTCATTTTTGTCATTATGATCAGATAAAAATCAAAAACTGCACAATAAATTGACAAACACTGTCGGAAACAACTCAACAAGGTTCAAAAATATTTATATTTTCTAGATTTTCGATTGTACTGTGAATCACTCTCTTGAAGAAGCACCCAACTGTATTCCCCATCATGTTTTCGTTATACTGACCTTGGTAATGACATTTAAAGTCCAATACTGTCCTTGGTAACGACGTTTAAAGCCCAATATATCTTAATAAAAGCTCTCGCCTTGCTCCTCGGAGTAAGCGCCAATGTTCGCATTGAGTTTATTGAAATGCAAATTAAGGATATGAACTTTCAGAGACATTCTGCATCCCGCTTAGGCGTAATTCTTTATAAGAGTCTGCACCAACTCCACATAGTTTTCAGCATTGTGACTACCTAGGAAACCCTGAACAATTGCAACAAAACTGCTCCAAGCCGCTCTCTCCGTTCTGTTCAATAGCTTTGCGAAATCATCGCATTCTATGATCTTCTTGTCTTACGAATATA